GTCGCCCCCGCCGTTCCACGCAGCAGGGCCGCCACTTCTCGCGCCGCTTCAGCGCGCTGGAGTATGGTGAGCAGGACGTTGTTGCCCCACTGTCATCTGAGGGCGACCACAACGACGACCTCGATCTCTGCGAGGCCGTCCACTATCACTTGGAGGACTCTACCCTCCCTGCAGTTGAGCGCCTTCAGCTCGCGCTCTCTGCCCTCTCTCGGGCACGCAGCCGCCCCGGTCACGCTGGCGCATCGCCCCCCGAAGTCCCTCAGGAGGATCTCCCTCAGGGCTTCGTCCCTCCTCGTGGTGTCCTTTCCCCTGAGGAGCGCGCGACTATTCTGGGCCAGCGTGGGTGTTTGCGGTGCCGCTTGGACGGTCATACCTCTTCGCGGTGCCCTTACACTACCGCCCTCGACCGCCACTACGCTGACCGTTCTCGTCAGCGTCGTGCTCAGTCCCCCCCCGGCGCCTCACGTCCCCGCGGCGCCTCCTAGCCACGGTGCAGTGTACACCTGCGCCCTCCTCATTAGTGGGCTTCCTGACATCTCTGTCGCGGTTCGCCCCTCTCGCTACTGGAGTTGAGGTATCGCAAGACTCGACAGAGTGTACTCAGCCCTCTGTCACAGTACCGTCTGCGCCTCCGCAGACCACCGTCTCCCCTCCTCCCCCGCCGCGACTACCGACGCGTGGAGCCATTCGCTCAGCCCGTTGCAGTGAGCAGCTTGCTACTCGCAAGGACATTGTGCCCTCTCTTCTGGACTTGAGCATGCTCCAGGATCGTCAGGAGCGACTCACCCTCCATGTCGCTGCACTGTGTCGCCTTCTCGACATCCTCTCTGACCCTGATCGCACCCTCCCGATCATCCCCGTACGACTCGGGACCTCCACGAGGGTGTACTCAGCGCTGTGGGATTCCGGTTCTCAGGGCGACTTCATTCACCCACGCGTGCTGAAGGAAGCCCGCTTACCCACGACAGGGTCTCCGACTCCCATCTCCGTCACCCTAGGGGATGACAAGACCCAGCGCTTCTTCGATCAGAYGGTCACCGACCTCCCCTTCTTCCTCACTCTCGAGCCGACTGAGCGTTCCCCGGCTTCTCGTCGCCACCGCTCCTCTGCACATTTCGATGTGATGGAGACGGGGTACGACTTCATTCTCGACACTCCGTGGTCTCGTCGGTTCCGCAGCACCGTGGCCGACTGGGCGACCAACACTCTCATTCTCAAAACGAAGTGTGGACAGACGTATCGCGTACCTTCATAGGTACCACGGTGACACCACGCCCTGATCCTCCTCCCCCGGAGCCTTCAGTGCCCACACCATCTCCCTCTATCACTGTCACCTTGCGTCGGCAGTTCGCTCACTTCATTCGACAGGACGGCGTCACCTTCTTTATGGTGGACGTGACGGATCTCTTACACTATGATCCACCCTGTCCCGACGCCGAGCTCATCCCTCTGGAGCCAGATCCTCCCTCTATCTCCATGGCTCCCATCTCTACTTCCGTCCCTCCGCCGTCCGTCGAGTCCACCCCGCCGTGGCGCGCTGACGCTGATGCTGAGGAACTCGCACAATATACGACTGACTTGGAGCCCGCAGTTCGCGACCTCATCCGAGAGTACCACGACGTTTTCCCATCATCGTTCTCGTACGCCGGCATCCCACCGATGCGTGACGTCGAGCACTCCATTCAGCTCGTGCCTGACTATCGTGTTCACCACCAGGCACCCTACARACTCTCGATCCCCGAGGCCACCGAACTCAAGCGTCAGCTTGAGGAGCTCCTGAAACTGGGTTTCATTAAACCCAGCAACTCCCCGTAGGGTGCACCCGTCCTCTTTGCTCACAAAGCGGATGGAACTCTTCGTCTCTGCATCGACTACCGCGGCCTCAACCGCTACACGGTTAAGAACAGCTACCCCTTGCCTCGTTCCGATGAGCTGTTCGACCGCCTAGCAGGCAACTGCTTCTTTACGAAGATTGATCTTCGTAGCAGTTACCATCAGATCCGCGTCGCTGCAGCCGACCAGCCGAAGACMGCGTTCCGATCGCGATTCGGCCACTACGAGTTCACGGTGATGCCATTCGGCCTCACCAACGCACCCGCTACCTTCCAGAGGGCGATGAACGACATCTTCAGGGACATCCTGGAGCAGTACGTTCTCGTCTACCTCGACGATATCCTGGTCTATAGTCATACCCTTGAGAAGCACCTCAGACACCTCGGCGACGTCCTTGAYCGCTTGCGCAGACATGGCTTCTACGCCAAGCTAAGCAAGTGCCGCTTTGCCCARCACAAAGTGGATTTCTTAGGACACTACGTGTCTAACCAGGGTCTCCACATGGACGACGCGAAGATCACTGCTATTGCGGAGTGGCCCGCTCCCACATCCGCCAAGCAGCTTCGCAGCTTCCTAGGCCTGACCAGCTACTATAGTAACTTCATCCGGGGATA